TATAATCCTATGTAGTTAAATTTAAACATTTAAAACATTAAACATTTAAAAACATTATTCTGAGAAGAAGTCCAGAGGCTTCACCAAACTGCCAAAGGAGTTTGGGGGTGTGGGTGGTAAGAATTCCTGCTTTAAAAGATGGGTAGGCATTCAATAGGGAAAAGCAGAGTCCATTTCAGGAACAGAAAACTGTATGAGCAAAGGCATACTCATGGGAAAGTGTGAGGAGTTTGAACTTTTCTCACTAGATAACAAGGGAGGTTTTGAAGAGTTTTAAACAGAGGAGAGATCACATATACATAAGAAAGGAAGATCATTTTGACAGTGGTGAGAAAGATGAGTTAGACGAGATAGAGTAAATGTGAGAAAATCTAGTTCTGCTGGGTCTTTGAGGAACAGCAACCAGCATTACCCAAATAGGATTCTAGGTATATGATGCTCTATTCTGTCAAAGGATAAAGAAAGAAGATGGTACAATTTTGTGTTTCGTTTTCTAGGCACTGCATTTGTTTCTCACATAGGTGCTTTAGAAGAAAACAAATTATATTATGGATATTCATTCAGTTAAGGAATATTTAGTTTAGCACAGTGCTTGGCACATAGTACATGCTTAAGAAAGGTGTTTTCATTCATTCAGCAAGATACATAAATAATTATAAGGTATAATAATACACAATAAATGCACTAGAAGGTTTGAAGGTAGGTGCTTCATGAGTTTGGAGGTAGGAGGTTGTTACCATTTTGGGGTAGGGCTATCAAGAAAAGATTCATGGATAAGGTGGCATTTGAAACATTATTGCTTCCAAAATGTTTATCTAGAGCTACTTTGTGATAAGGGCCAAAGCTTTACAATACTTTATAGTCTGGGAGGATTCAATCTTGGGCTTTCCTTAGCTGCTTGATTCTTGAATCCTGCCTAGAGTTGTGGGAAGGAGTAACTATTCTCTATCTCAGACTGAGGCTGCTGAACTTTCATTTCTTTATTCAGTTCATTCACCAGATGCTAATTCACTTGTGCCAGGTGCTGTGGGAGATACAAAATTTATCCTCTTAGAGGTCGTGGTCTGGTAGGAGGATAGGACACAAGGGGAAGAGAACTACATTATACTACAATATCCAATAGACATCCTCCAAGAAAAATAAAAGAAAGGGGAGAGGGGTTTACTCTGATAACAGTGGGTAAAAAAGCTGGATTCAAGACTTTCTTATAGAGTAGGGTTTGAATCTTACAGGTAGAAAGTCCATGGTTAAATAAAAATGGGATTGTGGGATGTCATAGTAACAATAGTTCACATTTATACTTCCCTATGTGAGTGTGGCCAAGTCATTTAACTTCTCAGAGCCTCAGTTTCCTCATCTGTAAAATGGGATAATAATACTTATGCTACCTACCTCGCAGGACTGTTATGAGTAAAATAGCTGTCAACCTTAAACTCCTATTAAATGCGAGTTTTATTCTTACAAGGAAGGCTTCAATGGAAGGGATACTGTTTGAGTTGGGATTTAAAGGATAAACAATCAGGGAACACACAATGAACAATGTGTCAGATGATGGGAACTCATTAACCTGGAAGCTCTTGGCCCTACTTTTTGTGCATGGCAAATCCTGAGGAAAGTGGTGGCAGCATAGTCCTTAAGTTTGTCTCCAGCACTTTGACCAGGCCGACTATGGACAAATAAAGCAAATGATTCCTGTGGGTAAAACTGATCTCAGCAGGTCAGTTCTCTGCTTCTGTCATTAGCATGTTGTGATTTTTCCTTCATTCTATCTTCCTTTCTCTTCCTTGGCTTCATTGTTTTCCTGTTGTAGCACTGTAACCAAATCCTCAGATGTGAGTAGCTGATAGTACAGTAAATTGTAAGCAAAAAGCCATATGATGACCACCTTCTAACAGGCCAATGAAGAAGGGAGATGAAAGAAAAGAAAAAAATCCAGAGGATAGCACACTGAGTTTCAGAAAATTCAACAGGTAGAAAGTCTGTGGTTAAGTAGAAAAGAATTTGGGAGATGTCCTAATACTTAATGGTAACTCACATTTATACATCCCCTTTCACCAAATGCTTTCCTCACCACATCCCTGTGAGGCAGGGAATGTAGGTAGTGTAATTCTCATTTTACAGATGAGAAACCTGGGACTTGGAGAAAAATTTCATTGACTTAACTCAAGGCCCCATTAGAACCAGGCTTCTGCAGCTGAGCGCAATTCCATTCTTGTTTCCTGTCTACTCTACTGCACAACACTGCCCTCCAGAGGTTCTGAGTGACTGGTGTTCAGGGGTCTTCTTAGTTATAGGTCAAATCAGTCCATCCAGTTAAGTATTCTAAAGCTCTGACAGTGACATCGGGGGGTGTGTATAACTTTTAACATCAGTAAATATTGAGATTTACCCCTTTTCTCCTGTAATCATGACAAATACGTATATACATATTTAAAAACTTTGTCATCATTTGTTATCAAAAATGTCATGTGGTCTTCTCCCCACTCCCCCCCCAGCCAATTTTATAATATTCTCTTCTTCCTGAAGGTACATATACAGACAGCTAGCAGATTCCCATTTCTGTATACTAGTAAAGCCAAAAGTTTTAAAATAAGATTGTAAAACTTATAGGTTAAGATTATTAAATAGTAAAATAGCTGCTAAGGGCGTGAAGGCAGAGGTGGGGTTTTGTTGGGGTTTTTTTTTTGTATTTTAAATTAAGTCCTTACAGCACAGTAATGTTCTATTACATTCATGTGCCACAATTTATTTAGCCAATCCCCAATCAGTGGATATGTACTATGTTTCTGATTCTTAGCTGTCACATAAAGTGCAGCTATAAATATTTTGTTATATATGGGGATTTTCTTCTTACCAATGGTTTCCTTATGGTACAAACCCAATATTGGAGTCTCTAGTTCAAAAAATATGGTCATTTTAGTCACTTTATTTACATAATTTAAAATTGCTTTCCAAAATGGTTGTACTATTCCCAGCTCCTCCAAAAATGCAGTTGTGTGTCTATCATTTCACAACTCCTCCAGCAGTGACTGTTGCCATTTTTGGGTTATTTTTTGCCAATTTGCATGTATGAGGTGAACTAGTGACTTCTTTAGGCAACTTCAACTCTTTCTTTGCTTTTAGGAAAGACTGTAAGGAACAGAAAATTCTTCAGAATACTTAAGCAGATGAGTTGCATATTTGCAAATAAAGGCAGCTTAAAGATTCTGTAGTATTTAGATAGACCAAAACTGGTCTCTTCTATTTTGTGCTGATGTTATTGCATTAGCTTATAAAGTAGATTTCTTTTTGAAATACATATTAGAAAGTTCTATATGTCAAACATAAAAGAGATACAATACTTTGGCATTCTTTTAAAGAAAGAAGATGAGTATATGAACAGAAGAAGGCATTACTACTCCCTTTGTAATCAACTACACATGTTTGAGTCCTTGGGGGAAGAAGTATGAAAATGACAATCTGTTAGTAAGTATTTCAAGGGCAGATAGTAGAAAGGAGATAAAGCATGTACATGAATAATCCTAATACCAGGTAGAATGTGATAGGGACAAAAGAAAGGCAGAGATAAAATGCTCTCAGAAAATTTGAAATGAGAGAGATCGTTAAACTTTGGGGTAGGGGATGGGGATCAGGCAAATCTTTGTGGAGGAAGGCCATATATGTTCTGAGCCTTGAAGGAGAAGGATTTCAATAGATAATGATGGGGAGGGTGTGCATTCCAGGCTTGGGAGATTGTCTACACCAATGCACAGAGATAGAAGGATGATATCAGGGAATAAATCACTTAAATTGGCTTGAAGATACAGGGAATAATGTGAAATAAATCTGGAAAGGCAATATTTCACTACTGTGATTATCATTCTGTAGTAGTACAATCTTACTGTGTTTGATATCCTATTGTTGAGGAAGCTTAGTATGGTGGAAAGATCACTGGGTTTAGAGTCAAAGGGACCTTGGTTTGATTCCCAGCTCTACTACATACTGTTGTTACACTGGGCAAATCACTTCATCTCCCTGGGCTTCCTTTCTTTAGCTGTAAAATGAAGGAGTTAGATTAGATATGACCTCTGATTCCTCTTCAGATTCTAAATCTATGATTTTATTTATCTCCTTTTTTCCACTTTTGGGGCTGGCTTATGCTTTTGTCTGATTATGTTTATATTCCCGGTACTACTATTAAGATGTCTTCTGGTTTTGGTTAGAATTGTCTGGGTGACCTATGAAGATTCCTTCTTACTCTGTGAGAAAGGTTCTGTTTCATAGGCATCCCAAGTCACAGGTTCATCCCCTTTTCTCAGTGGAAAACAATCCAAAAAAGCTTTTTACTTGTGTAAATAACTAGACAGTCAGTAGGCAGCTCTGTGACATAATGGATAGAGGCTTGAACTAGGAGTCAGGGCAACCTGAGTTCAAATGCTGCATCAAATATTTACTTACAAGTATGATTCTGGGCAAGTCATTTAACTTCTGTCAGCTTCAGTTTTCTCATCTGTAAAGTGGGGATAATAATAATACCTCAACAATTGTGAGGATCAAATGAGATAATATTTATTATGTTCTTTGCAAACCTTAAGGCACTATATCAATGCTATTTTATTAATATTATTATCATCATTAATGCTTTGAAAGTAGTTGAACTCAGTCTGAAAAAGAGGGAGACAGTTATTCTTGGCCCTCAAGTGTAATTGCCATCCTATTGAGGAATAACTGCAGTTGTGCTATGACACAGTAGTTTCCCAGTGCTTTTTTTATTTTATATTTAGAAACACATTCTCTGTTCCCTCCTCCCCTTTCTCTTTCTATGGAACAATTGTGCAACCTTTTTTCTTGCTGGCACAGTAACAGCAGGATTTCTGTATTTAGTCTTTGGAATAATAACTCCTCTTTGTGGTTGGTACCCTTCTAACTTTGTGCTTCTAATAATTTTCTTCTTTAGGCTTTCTGACTAAAATCTGAAATATTTTCTCACTCAACTCTGATGTCTCTTTTCCTTTCTTTAGAACTGAGCATGCAGAATCCAGAGGGCGGATCAGAATCAGCGACCTCCGTGGCATTACGTGCATCGGCGTCTGCTCAGGCCCCAGTCGTTCAGCCTGTGGCAGCCTCCCAGCAGGTGACATAACCACTTCTGTGTTCAGCTTCAAAAGTGAAACCACAGTTGATTTGGGCTCATTTGTTTTTATTCTTTAAGTACTTAAAATTTTTGAACAATAGAAAAAGTGTCTAAATTTTTCTAAATTGACTTATTCTTGTTCTGTATATATATAGGCCATTATTTCCCCCTCCTCATCCCCTCCAAATCTAGTTTACACAAAGAGTGCTTTTAGCAAGAGAATGCAAACGAAAGTTGACATGAAGAGAACAACTATGAAAAGAATGAATAAAACTTTCATTTGAAAAAAAAGTTATGTAAAGAGTTTCAGAGTAAATCTATTTTATCAGTCAGTCAGTAAACATTTATTAAGAGCCTGGGTAATGTGCTTAAACCTGGGGCCACTTAGATAGGTCAGAGATAATCCCTTCCCTCTAGGAGCTCATAGTCTGTGGAAGAGATAGCATGCAAGTAACGACATACAAACAAGACCTATACAGGATAAATAGGAGGTAATCAACAGAAGGAAGGCGTCAGTATTAAGGAAGATTGAGAACAGCTTTGTGTAGAAGGTGAAATTTCAGCAGGGATTTGAAGGAAGCCAAGAAGCAGAGATGAGGAAGGAAAACATTCCAGGCACAGGGAACAGCCAGTGTAAATTTTACATAATTATTCTTCACTATAAACATACACATTTTTCCTTCAGAAGAGATATTATTTTAAAGAGTCACCTTATAATATTTAGGACAGTGCATTGGTTTAAATCATTGAAATAACTATAATTTTGTTTTCATTTTACTATATTACCTTACTCTGCAATTATTTGATTATTAGGATAAAAAGAGGAAATAAAAAATGAACCGCTTTAGAAGTGATTTTCCAGAAGCTGAATTATAAGAACAATTCAGCCTCCTTTGTTATTTTTATGCTTTTCATTCAGTTACAAATAGAACAAAATCTTTAGAAATTGTTAGTCTAAAATTGAAAATGACAAAATTGGGAAGGAAGTTTGATGGGAGAAATTCAAATTAGGAACCACTTTGAGATTGTGGCAAAAATTAAAATTAGACTTGTTTTACATCAGGCCTGCACAACATATGGCCTGTGGGCCACTTGCAGTCCACTTGTAGGGTGGGCACTGCACACGCTTCTATTTGTCATGTGACCCCCCCAGCAACCAACCATCGTCAATTTGTCTCTAGGGTGACCTATCTGTGGCCTGAAGAAGTTCAGCCTATTTTTATTTTGGCCCCTACCTACCACTAAGTTGTGCAGGTCTGTTTTACATAAATTGAGTCATTTAGGAATGTAAGGTGGTGAATTGGGATTCTATGACAACAGGAGCTCAGGTAGGGAAAGATTGGGCATACTCTTCAAGTGATGTAGCAGGGTTAGTTACCCAAACTTGTTGTGCTGTGTATGTAAAAGGGAGCTGCTGTTTAGCTGTTTTCAGTCAAGTCTGACTCTTCATTGCCCCTTTTTTGGGTTTTCTTGGCAAAGAAACTAGAGTGGTTTGCCATTTCCATCTTCAGCTCACTTTACAGATGAGGAAACTGAGGCAGGGTTAAGTGACTTGCCCAGGGTCACAGAGCTAGTGTCTGAGGTCAGATTTGAACTCAGGCCTTCCTGACTTTGGGCCTGGCACTCTATCCACTGTGCCACCTAGCTGCCCAACAGCAACAGGGAAGGATCAGACATACTCTTTTGGTGACATGGGAGGGTCAATTACTTAAGCTTGTTGTGTTGTATGTGAGAAAAGGAGATAAGACCTTAAAAATATAAGACATGCCAAATTTAAAATGTGTTCATGCATTTCTGCTTTTAATTTCTTTTACGTATGAGGCATTAACTTATTTTGAGTATGGGCAGGCATTTCACTATAACCGTAAGTTGCAGAAAAGATACAGACCTGCATTGGTAGAGGGAGTCTATTCACCCCAGAGTTCCCTATATCATTGGACTCATAAGTCTAGCTCCTTTCCCTTTTCTTATAGGGAGCCAAATATTTGAGGAGCTGTCATGTGGGAGAGATTAGATTTTTTTTCTCCTAACACAGAACTAGGAATAAATAAAATAAATGAAGGCAAAGAGGCAAATTTAAGTTTAATGTAAGGATAAACTTCCTGGCAAATGAGCTGTCTAATAGCTGCCTCTCTGTGTGGCAGCAGCAACCCCTTCCCTGGAGCCTTCTGGTCTCAATGGTCACTGGAGTGCATTGTAGAGGGGCTTCTTACACAAGGAGGATACTGTCCTAGATAACCCTAACACCTCCAACTCTGAGGTTCAACGACTTCATAAAAAGACGGCTATATTTTCAGAAAACGTAGGTTCTAGACTTGGGCTAGCTGGTGGCACAGGGGATAGAGTGCTGGGCCTGGAATCAGGAAGACTTGAGTTTAAATCTGGACTCAGACACTTATTAGTTATATGAGCCTGGACAAATCTCAAGTCTGTGTTCACCTCGGCTTCCTCAAATGTGAAGTGGAGATAATAACAGCACTTACCTTACAGTGTTGTTTGCTGTGAGGATCAAATGAGGTAATATTTGTTAAAAAAAAAAAAACACAGCCTAGTACCTGGCACACAGTAGGTGCAATATAAATGCTTAGTCTCTTCCCTTCCCTCCTAGTGTGAGCTTTATCACTATACAAGTTTTGTGATCTTGTGCAAGTTATTTCAGCCTTTTAGGCCTTTCTCAAACTGAGAAGATTAGATAAATTGATCTCTAAGGTCCTTTCCAGCCACACAGTTCTATATCAGTTGTACTGCCCTGTAGATCAGAGGTGTCAAACTCAGGGCGCACAGGCTCATAAACCTCCTAAGTATGGCCCAAGTCATATTAAAATATAATTGAGAAACATTTGACAAAATAAATAAAAATACAATACAAACATAGATGGTTGTCTAAGTCAGTATGCAGCAGCAGGGCTTCAGTTCTATTTGAGTTTGACACCATTGCTTTAGAATATAGTAATGTCAGTTCCTTGCCTTGTCTTAGTGGAGGGGCTTGCATAGCTCAATGAAACAATGAGCTATGCTGTGCAGGGTTACCCAAGATGGACAGGTCATAGAGGAGAGTTCTGACAAAAGGTGATCCACTAGAGAAGGAAATAGCAGACCACTGTAATATCTTTGCCAATAAAACCCCATGGACAGTACTAAAATGATAAAAGAAATGACATCAGAATATGAACCCCTCAGGTTGGAAGGTGTCACTATGCTTCTGGGGAAGAGTGGAGGACAGCTACAAGTAGCTCCAGTACTAATGGGGTGGCTGGGTCAAAGCCAAAAGTAAGCTCAGTTGTGGATGTGTCTGGTGACGAAAGTAAAGCCCAGTACTATAAAGATCAATATTGCATAGGAACCTAACATGTAAGATCTATGAGCCAGCGTAAGCTGGATTTAGTCAAATAGGAGGTAGAAAGATTGAACATTGACATTGGGTGTCAGTGAATTTAATTGAATGGGAATGGTGAATTTAATTCAGGTGATCATTGCATATACTATGGGCAAGAATTCCTTAAAAGAAATGGAGTAGCCCTCATAGTTAATAGAAGGGTGAGAAAAGCAGTACTGAGATATTATCTCAAAAATGACAGAATTATATATCTGTTCGGATCCAAGATAAACCATTCAACATCACAGTAATACAAGTCTGTGGTCTAACCATTGATGCTGAAGAGGCCAAAGTTGATCAGTTCTATGAAGACCTACAACAAACTGTAGAAATAACACCAAAAAAAAAAATTCATTAGGGGGGGATTGGAATGCTAATGCAGGAAATCAAAAGATAATTAAAATAACAGGCAAGTTTGGCCTTGGAGTACAAAATGAAGCAAAGCAGAGACTAATAGAATTTTGTCAAGATAACTTGCTTTTTTTTCAACAACCCAAAAGGCAACTCTACACATGGATATTACCAGATGGTCAGTATCAAAATCATATTGATTATATTTTTTTGCAGCCAAAGATTAAAACAAAGACTTGGATTGTGGCTCAGATTATGAGTTTCTTATTGCTAAATTCTGACTTAAATTGAAGAAATTGTATAGGTATGACTTAAATATCATCCCTTATGAATATGAAGTGGAAGTGATGAATAGATTTGAGGGATTAGATCTGCCTGAAGAACCATAGACAGAGGGTCACAATATTCTACAGGAAGCAGCAACAAAAAACATTCCAAAGAAAAGAGCAAGGAAGCAAAATGATAGCCTGATTTGGCTTTGCAAATAAAAGAAGGAAAATGAAAGGTAAAGGAGAAAGGGAAAGATGTGTCCAACTGAATGCAGAATTCCAGAGAATAGAAAGGAGAGATAAGGTTTTCTTAAATGAGCAATGCAAAGAAATAGAAGAAAACAATACAATGGGAAAGACAAATCTCTTAAAGAAATTTAGACATATCAAGGGAATGTTTCATGCAAAAATGGACATGATAAAAGACAAAGATGGTAGGGATTTAACAGAAGCAGAAGAGATTAAGAAGAGGTGGAAGGAATACACCAAAGAACTATATAAGAAGGGATAGAATTCCAGCTGAGCTATTTAAAATCTTAAAAGATAATGCTGTTAAATTGCTGCACTCAATATGCCAGCAAATTTGGAAAACTCAACAGTGGCCGATGGATTGGAAAAGATCAGTGTACATCCCAATCCTAAAGAAGGGCAATGCCAAAGAATATTCAAGTTACCAAACAATTGTGCTCATTTCACATGCCAGCAAAGTTATGCTTATGATTCTGCAGGCTAGGCTGTGAACCAAAAATTACCGAAAGTGCAGGCTGGTTTTTGAAGATGCAGGTCCTCATGCCCTCATGTGTGGACCATCACAATAACCTTCTGGTTGGTCTCCCTGCCTCAAGGTTCTCCTTGTTCCAGTTTATCTTCTACTCAGCTACCAAATTTATCTTTCCAACTTTCAGGTCCATACTTGTCACTCTCTTTCCTTTTTTCTTCCTTCCTTCCTTCCTTCCTTCCTTCCTTCCTTCCTTCCTTCCTTCCTTCCTTCCTTTCTTTCTTTC